TAAAAGTCATTAATAAATGAAATGTGTTAGAAATACATGAGTTTGTATTTCACACTCAGGAGGTGAATGTAGTCATGAAATGTTAATAACAATATTCAAGAATCAGGCATTAAACAAACTAAGATTTAGCTTTTAGGCTTCATGCATTTCTAAAAAGATAATTCATGAACTTGCTACTCAGTCTTACCTCTACATGCCTACTAGGGCACATACAAGCACACGTGTCTGCATTAGGTAAACTATTACTAGCCTTACTTAAATTTCTATTCAAACTACAGTAATGAGAGCTAGTTGTATTGTACTCACATATAAAAACTAAATATAACTCCTAGAAATCAGAGCTATTGCTTGAAGAATGCCAAGTTCTACAACCTAGTTATCAAAATTTTCTTTCTACGTCTAATTGCTCATTTGTTTTAAAAAAAAGTTGACAAATACAATTTTCAATGTACTCACACATTTAGAATAACATAGGTTACACTATGTAATTTAGACCTGCCCTAACATTTCTACTCCAGGTTTGTCAGTTAGATTTACAGTTTGAAGCACACCACAACATTTTGTAAAAATATAATTACCTGCAGTTTAAAAACTTTGAAAACTCTAAGAACTGGTTTGCTATTTTTACACAATTTAATTCTGTAAGTGATGCATATTCATTAGATAACTTAATCCCTTTAATTCCACAGACATCCTGTGTATAACTCAGTGTTTTAGATGATTTGGTTGTACCTGTACAGCCCTTGACACGTAATCAGTAAGTGAGGTTTGAAGCAAATGAAAGGAGTGCTTTATTTTTTTGTGATTATCAATTGCTGAACTGAGAAAGTAAATTCTGTAATACATCTTTTGACTTTTATTCCCATCTCACTCTCTTTCTCTTCTAACACCTGGGCTCTCACTCTCTGACATTCATTTTGTAAGTGTGTGCAGCTCTGCCCTGGTCACATGCTCTCCTCTTTTTCCCTCTTTCCTTTAACAAAACGCTGATGGAGTGCTAGGATGTCTAGGACCAGCCCCAGAGCACCAGATTGATATTTCAGGCCCTGTTTCCCTCTTCTGAGACTCCATTCCACTAATGGTTAAATTAAATTTGGTTCTCCTGGTTTTTTAAAAAATTTAAATTTGGTTCTCCTGGGATTTTTTTAAAATCTAGAAGTAGATTTTAAAAATCTAGAAAAATCTAAAATATAAAAATCTAGAAGTAGATTTTAAAAAAAGTTGATGTGACTGTAAAAGAAATGATGGGTTGCTAAAGTAAAAAGGAGTTTTCACTTCAGTGGATAGACAAAAACAGCATTTATTCATTATTGGTAACACCTCTCAGAATCTGTGATGGCCCCCTTCACAAATGGGTTTTACTTGCTTCTCTGTGTGGGTAAACTATACAACACTGAAAGGCTGAAGACAGATTTTGGAGTCAAAAGATGTGAGCCTAACTCTTGAACTTTTCATTTACTGACAAATATTATTTTTAGAAAATCACTTAATCTTTCTTCAGCATGTCTTTATAAAATGAAGCTAATAATTCTTATTTCTTAGAAATTAGATAAAATTATTTTCTACAGATGCAACATATAAATTATGACAATTGTTGTCATTAATATTAAGATGTGTTTTCCTCAACCCTAAGAAAATGTAAGTACCAGAAGCCACACAACTCAGGAATGTCTAGTGATAATGCGATCATTAACAGTATACCGCATTCCAGACTGTTAGCCAGAACCTCACAGTGGCGTGAGAATAATGTTTATTATCTAACAGATAATGATGGTTTTTTGCAACATTGTACACAGAAGTTGAAAATAGTGAGTTATTGTCTTAGCAGTTCAGGAGTATGAAATCACTCTATAATTGTCAAGTATTTGAAATTAAAGTAAATAGGCAAGCACCTCTGAGAATTAATGATCTTTGTGCATTCTTCACTGAAAACTTTTAGACATGGATTTCATTAAAAATAAGCAAAGTTTAGTCACAATGGTGGCATAAGTAAATATGTAACTCAGAACCTCCCCAAAGCACAGAATTACAACTAAATTACAGAACAACCACCATTCAGATCACCTGAAATCTAGCTGAAAAGAAGTCCTGTCACTAAGGATATAAAGAAGAAGCCACACTAAGACTGGTAGCAGGAGCGGGGATATGGAAAGAGGTGTTCACACATGTGTGTGTGGTGGTTAAAAATCAGGAGGGATATCTCTGCAGTGGGAGTCCCCCCTGAGGAGTGAGAGATCCTTGCTCCATATCAGAACCTCCAGCCCAGGGTTCTTCTAGTGCTGGGAAGAGAAGTTTGCATAACTTCTGGCTGTGAAAACCAGCGGGGACTGTGACAGAGTGAGATGGAGGGCTTTGGAGTCACAGGAGAATACTTCTGCTTAATTGAACTCCCTCTCTCAGAGCTCCAGCACTGGGGCAGCTGCTTAAAAGGCACCATGGACATACAGAGAGGAACTGAATTGTCTGCTATCAGAGCAAGAGCGAGAGGGACAGCTTTCTTCCAGACAGAATTGCTGAGCCCTCCTTCAACAGAGCCTGGCAGGCAGGTGGGGGCCATATCTGAGTTTCCATCAACCAGGCTAACACTGTTTGCCCTGCCCTGGTGATTCCCTGAGATCTCACCCCACTGAATTTTCAGATGAACCCAAGCCATTGCTAGTGGCTTTTTCATGCAACTGGCCTCTCCTGTCTCATGCTTCAGATTTCCGAAAATCTCTCTAACAAGTAGCATCTGGCCTCTGTGTACCACATACCTCTTGCTAAAGTGGCCTCAGGCACAGCACTAGTTGGACCCAGTCTCGATTTACAGATTGGCCTACCCTGAGCACCTCCTAGCCCAGCATAAACAATAGCCATCTGTAGACTCCTTTGTAGCTCATGCTGAGAGGCCCCTGGCAGGCTGACCTTGCACCTCCAGGGAAGCTCCAGAGCCAGTGCATCTGGTGGACAGCTTCAGACCAGTCTAGACTACAATGCAACCACATGCACAAAGGGCACAATAAAGGGGTGGATTTGGTGGGCACCAAAGCTCCACTGAAGCAAGTCCTATTCCATGGAGTTAGTCTCTGCACAGCAGCTCCTATGCTGTAGTCACAGCTGGTCTTCATACTAGATTGACCTGGGAGTCAATCACTCCCACTGATATGCAAACAACAATCAAAACTCAACTACAACAGCATAGTGCACGCAGCCCACACAGAAGATGCACCAAAGCACCCAGGTCAGGTGACCACAGAGGTTGCACCCGTGAGCCCTACAGGACACCGACTACATAAGGCCACTCTAGCAAATACAAAAGGGGTAGCAGCTCTAATACACAGAAACAAATACCAGAAAATAGCCAAAATGAGGAGACAAAGAAACATGTTCATAATAAAAAGAATAGGAGAAAGTTCCAGAAAAAGAACTAAGTAAAATGGAGGCGAGTAAACTACTAGATACAGAGTTAAAAACAATGGTTATAAGCATGCTCAAGGAACTCAGTGATAACATCAGCAGCATAAAGAAGGACGTGGAAACCATAAAAGAGATCTAGTCAGAAATGAAGGATACACTGAACAAAATGTAGAATAAATTACAGGGAATTAAGAGTAGAGTAAATAAAGCAGAGAACCAAATCATCTATTTCAAATATAAAGAGGTGGAAAACTCTCAATCAGGACAACAAAAAGAAAAAAATAATCCAAAAATGAGGACAGATAAGGAGCCTCTAGGACAACTTCAAGCGCACCAATATTTGCATCAAGAGAAAAGCAGTTAGTTACCTACAAGGGAGTTCCCATAAAACTGTCAACTGATTTCTCAACAGAAACTCTGTAGGCCAGAAGAGATTGGCACAAAATTGTGTGTTGAAAAGCAAGGACCTACAACCAAGATGACTCTACCTAGCAAAGCTGTCATTTAAAATCAAAGGACAGATAAAGAGTTTCCCAGAAAAGAAAAAGCTAGAAGAGTTCATCACCAACAAACCAGTGTAGCATGAAATATTAAAAGGTCTTCATGAAGAAAAAAAACAAAAATTAAAAATATGAATAACAAAATGGCAATAAATACATATCTATCAACAACTACTTTAAATGAGAATGGGTTAAATATTCCAATCAAAAGACATATGGTGACTGAAAGGATAACAAAACAGGATCTTCACATATGGGTTCGTCTGTTCGTCTGCAACAGACGAACTTCAGATTGAAAAACACCCACACACTGAAAGTAAAGGGATGAAAAAAAGATATTCATGAAAATGGAAACAAAATCACACAACATTAAAATTAAGGTAGCAATACTTACACCAGACAAAATAGATTTTAAAACAAAGGTTATAACAAGAGACAAAGAAAGACCATACAGCAATACTACTTCTGGGTATTTATTCACAGAAAATCAAAACATTAAATCAAAAAGACATATTCACCCATATATTTATTGACAACAGCCAAGATATAGAAGCAACCTAAGTCTCCATAAATAAATGAATAGATAAATGAGTGGTACACATAGATGATGGAATATGATTCAGCCATGAAAAGAAGGATATTTTGCCAACTGCTACAACATAAATGGACCTTGGGGTATTGTGCTGAGTGAACAGAGAAGGACAGATGCCAGATGATGTCACTTATATGTGGAGTCTCAAAAACAAAATATACAAGTAGAACAGACACAGACTCATAGATACAGAGAACATTTTGACAGTTGCCAGATAAAAGAGAGATTGGGGGGATGGGTGAAAAAGGTGAAGGGACTGAGAAGTACGAATTGGTAGTTACAGAATAGTCACAGGGATGTAAAGTATAGCACAGAGAATACAGTCAACTATATATGCTTCGGAGGGGTACTTGAGTTATTGAGGTGATCACTTCATAAGTTAGAGAAATGTCTAATCATGGGGATGTATGCTTGAAACTAATACAACATTGTATGTCAACTGTGATTTAAAAATTAAAAAGAATTTAAATGAGCAGAAACACCATAAATTTATTTTAAATAACATAACTTACTTTTCGAAGGGACTCGGAGGTTGGCAAGGACCACTTCCAGGGAATCAGCTTGGACTCGCAGTACATAGCTCGTTCTTGTTTCGTAGTCCAGGGGGGCATTCACGTAGATAACACCTGTGACGTTATTAATTCCAAACTTGTCTAGAATCAAAACACAATTTCTGGGTCATTTATTTCACACTACAAGGAAAAAATCGTTTTCTTCAAAAGCCACTGTGATTTCAAAAACACATTTATAGTGGTAGTAATACATAAAAGGGACAAGAAGCTGGCTTTTGGAAACTGTTTTATCTCTGTGAAAACTTTGTTCTAGTAATTATTAACATCAGTGTTCCCCTAATTATATGCCTTTAAATTCTAGGTTTTTTTTTTTTTTTGAGATTCTCCTGGGAATGATTGTTTCTGTGATCAATTACATTGGGGAGCATTTTATACTATACGCCTCACACTAGATTCAGATGGTTTTCTACCATACTAAAAACTTTCAGAAATTCTGTTTTAAAGAAACCCACTGAATTTTGTTTAACCAAGTATTTTATAATCTTATTAAATTATTACACTTTTTATGATTTAATGCATCTTATTATCCTGTAGATTTAGTGTTCTGCTAAGAACACCTAAGGAAAAACAGATAGTTTAATATGTTGGTCATTTTGAAAATATGGTTTATTATTCTAAATGACTTAAAATGCTTTGCTCTGATGTCCTTTGTTAAATGAATTTGCTCATTTAACATATGAGTGAAGAGCAGGGAACTTTGCTAAACTGTAGAATATTCTACCTCTTGTACTCATATTTTTCTCTTTAGTTTTCTGAACAGCATTTATTACCATCTAAATACTACATATTTATCAGCTGATTAATTTTCATTGTCTATCTCTTCTTATTGATGATTAATAAATATTTGTCAAAAAGTAATAAATATATGTTAAATAAATAAATAGTAAAAATAGTCATTGTGGGGGAAAGAGGGTAGTAAGTGGAGCCCCTTTTCTGTCTTCAAAGAGAAGTATTGACTGAATTACAGAAACACATAGCAGAACAGAACAAGAAATCACAGCTTTAGTAAGACGCTGAAGTTGAAGGAAAAAAGAAGTTTAGTAACAAGATTTATGGAGGAGTCAGGGAAACAAAGAAGAAAACAGTAAGTATGATGTTGAGTACTTGCTTTAGGGCCAGCGATTTCTTGTTTGGTGAAATACTTGAAAAAGTCCTGTGTACTTTCCATGAAAACTGCTCAACAGCATTAACATTAATTCACTTATCACATGTTTATTATTCATGTATTTATTACATATATTAACTATTTTGACTACCAGGCCATCTGGTTCATCAAAAGGAAAAACAGAGAACAATTAACTTATGGAATTGGTGAAACAAAAAATGGGTGATAAACACTGAGCTACAGACTTATTCCTAGAGGCTCAAAACCCATTCTAATTCTTAGTGAAATACGATGGGTAGACAATACTTAAATTATTTACTTAAAATTGTTAATTGTATGTCTAACCCAAGTGTTCGAGTATTCGATCATACAATATGTATGACTTTTATCACAGATGTGCCTATTTGGCCATTTACAATAATTTGTGATTCTAAAATTCGTTCAGGATTAGCCAATGTATGATATGGAGTATGGGCTGATGATGGCATAAGGGTAAAGTAATAATTATAACTGAAAGCTGAAAGTATCACACATTAGTTTTTTTAAAGTTTTACTTTTTGAAAGATTTTATTCATTTTTATTTTTAAAGAGAAGGGAAAGCAGGGAGAAAGAGAGGGAGAGAAACATCAGTGTGTGGTTACCTCACATTCTCCCCCTACTGGGGATTGGCCTGCATCCCAGCCATGTGCCCTGACTGGGAATCAAACCAGCGACCCTTTGGTTCCCAGGCCAGCACTCAATCCACTAAGCCACAACAGCCAGGGCATCACACATTAATTGTGAAGAAATCTCATTAAAATATTCTCAAATGGGAAAGAGAAGAAGGCTTCCAGAATTAGTATTTCCTGAGGTGGGGGGGGGCGACTTTTTGCTAATATAACTGGATTTTTAAATTGGAATTGTTTTTTTTAAATATAGAGTAAACAGTAATTCAATCTGAAATTAATGACAAATCCAAGTTGATCACTTTTTGTTGAAAATGCAGACTAAATATCTACTCACCCTCTTCATTTCCTGCAACAATGGAGTACACGATACTCTGATTGACGGCTGCAGCAGAAATTACACCAACCATAGTTCCTCTGGGTGCAAGTTCACTTACTGGAGGAGGCCTGCAGGTTCAAAGAAAATAAAAATTTTAGTACCCATTTTGCCAGGATGGAGTTTTGAATTTAATCATAATATGTGTTGGTTTGTGTGTGTGTGTTTATTTAAATAATACTATTTTCTGAAACTAATCAGAAAGCACTGCATTGACTCCAGCCCTAAAAATAATTGGTTAAAATCATGAAAGTGCTCTTTAAAAATTATCGTGCTGCTACTATTTTTTTTTGAGATGGAACATACTATTACTTTAGTATCTGCCAAATATCATACAAAATTCTTTTCACTTGTCTCTAAAACACCTTTTGGAATGAAACCAATAGATAGATATAATTTGATCCCTTAACTGTTAAAATAATATGTTGATATTGTGTTGTTGATGTTATCATATTTAAGCAAATGGCATCCAGCTGTCTCTATCTAGTCCTTGTTCCTGCTGGACTGTACAGCTCTAACTGTACAGAAAGTATTTGCATTGAGGGTATCACAAAATTTACATTTCTTTTGAATTCACTTATTTTGCTCAACCTTAGTTAGCTGCACTATCTTCCTGGTACTATGATATTTATTTAATTGCAGAACTATATTTTCAACAATTATCTATTCCTCCTATAATTCTCAAAATCTTAAATTCATTATGTAACATTTGTCACTCTAATTAGGCTATCATAACTTTGTTTTCATAAATTAATATAAATAACTTCACTTTTGTAGTTCACAGATATTTATATGATCCAGTCCTAACAGATTTAGAAAATTATTGAATACATATTTTTAACAATATCTCCAAATGGTTTTATAGTAGAATCAATATGTCTAACTCTTCTGATTTTTAATAAACTTTAGTATCTTTTCTCAAACTGGTAAGATAAATCCTACTGCTACTTCCTTTATATGGTCTTTCTTTCATTACTTACACTTTTAATATTACCCCTCATTTTTATCCCCATTTTCACAGTTTTTCTAACCCAGATTACATAGTGTTACTATGTTGTGCTTTCATTGAAGTCTTTTATAGCAAATACTGATATACAAATATAGTCTGAACAACTAATTACATATAACTCTTCAGGAATATCTTGTCCAAATTGCTATGCTCTTTGGCATTGTAGTCCATATACTTGTTTAACTCAGTACCTATATGTACCTAAAAGTGATATATTTTATAAATGCTCCAGTGCCTAATGGTGGTACATATATTCATTTCATGATCAATACATATTTCTTTCTTTATTTTATTCCCCTGCATCTTTTCTCTCTTCTCTTGTTAATAGCATGTAAGGTTTCTTTTGGATAACCACACCTCCACCATTCTCAGTCTAAGTGGTTTGGATGGGACTGACCAATAGTAGGATATGTGTATAGATAAACTCCTTAGCTCTCTCTGGCCAATGAGAACATTTATCCTGTTTGCTCATTGCTTATGTGTGGTAAATGTCTCTCAGAGCCAATGAAAGTTGTGTCCAGACAAAGATAGATAGATAAATTTATTTATTTATTTATTTATTTATTTATGGCTAGAATTTTAATGTTTACTCTCTATAATGAGGTTCTTGTTGATCATGATACCAGCACAAATGAAATAAGTTGGTGTTTGAAGACAGAATCCCTACACTTAGACTAATATTCTAAATGCTTCTATACTTAAAGCCAAGTAAACTACTTTCAGTTATGGAAAAAATAAATTTTCTTTAATTTTCTTTTATGTAATATTTCTATCACTTCCAATCAAAGAGTCTCAACTAATTTAAGAAAAACATGTTTAGATTAGAAAAAAGATACATTTGCCTAGGTGGACACTTCTTAAGTAAGATATCTGAGAAACACAGTTATATTCTATAAGCAACTTATTTAGTCACTTTTATGGTGTTCAGTAAGATAAGATTGACTTTAGTAACTGAACCAAAAATAGTAGTCCATTGATAGTAGATAGTAGTCTGTGATAGTAGTCTACCAAAAAAAAAAAAAAGCGAGGCATTTACAAGAGTGACAATAGATTGCTTTTAATGGACTGCTTTGATTATGAATATATTGTTGTTTGATATTTTAGATTATAAAGAGACATTAAGACAATTTGCATTTGTCACTTTGCTTAGTGGTTGACATTGGTGATTATGAAATAAAAACATGAAAAGGGTTAAAATCAGATAGTATGAAAACACTTTAGTTTTTTAAAAAGTCTCCAATAATGTCTCTGTTTTGGCATTCCTACCCTTGAATATTTTTCTCCTTTTTCATGAAGGGCAGAGTTTGACTTCTTTCTTCCTATAGAAATCATCAGAGTAAATGTGAAGTCACCTCAGTGAGTATGTAATATTTTTACTTGTAACTTCATTCTTGCCAGTAGACTCCATTTCCTCTGCCAAATTTATGAAGTAATTGAACATATGGAATTGTCTCCATGACAAGATACTGAAGGTGATGTTTGACCAACTGTCAGTGAGGAACTGAGGCCCTCAGTCCAACATCCCACAGGTAACTGAATTCTACCAACAATCACAGGAGCCTGGAAGTGTACCCCTCCCTGGTCAAGCCACACGAGACCCAAGCCCTGGCCAACACCTTGATCCAAAATTATGTGAGACTATGAAACAGAGAACATAGGTGACCAGTTCCTGAGATACAGAAACTTTAAGATGTTATATGCATGGTTTTAACTTGTTTGTTTTAATATTGCTATGCTGCAATACATAGTTAACGTGCATGGCTTAAATATTAAGAGCGATGAATTGTTAACTTATGATAGATTGAATTACATACAACTTAAATTTGATGTAAGAAAACATAGTAGTCACATTCTGAAATAATTTTTATAAGCTAAATTACTTCTTGTAGAATTAAACATTACTTAAATTGTTCATCTGTTTTTCTTGTTACTGCATAAGAGCTAAATTTTGCACTTTCCACAATTAGTTTATTGATCCTTATAAAATACAGAAATATAAAGTCTGAAGCTAATGTACCATAAGCTTTAACATTAGAAAAAAATGCCATGTTTTACTTCAAACTTTAAAAAGCATTTATGTGTATTTTTTTACAGTATGGATGAAAATAGTTAATACTGGAAAAATTAACTGGCATAATTTGAGAAAGAATTGAAATGCAATGCATATCAGTAAGAGCATTTAAAATTCTATTTGTTAATAAATGTTTAAAATGTATTTATTTCTAGACAAAATATCTCATTAACCCTTGTCTTAATTGTTCCAACACACTTCTACCAGAATCAACACATACCATAAAAATGCATTTTTCAGTCTAGAATTAAATAAACCTCTATGATAATGAGCATTAGATTACAAAATTTCAGTTCTTGTCTATTTGCTGCCAAACAGGACATATTTTATTTTTTTATGCCCTGGAAGGTACCAGGGCATGATTGGAGCAAAGTACATATTCGCTTTGGAGTCACATATAATTTAAATACAAAATGAAGCAGTTGGTATAAATCAAGAGCATAAAATTAGATGATGGGATAGAAAGATAACAAAATTGAATCAAGAGAGCTGCATATAAATTAATAGGGAAGGGGGTCAAAGTAAAGAATTTGTCACACCGTATGCTCTACCTAATAAGGGTAAGTAGTACAAGAGTGCAAATCCAATGGGATTTTAAAGTGGAAAAGTAAATTCTAAATGTTATGTGCATTCTATAAGTTTTAACGTTTTGGCAACCAATGAAAATTTATTTGTTAAAATATCATCTGACTTGGTTTGTTTGATCTACGGACTTGATCTATGAGCTGACAGTTCATGATTTTTAGAGTAAACTCTATGAAAAGTAGCTTCCGGTTCTGTCATTCTGAGTCTGATACAGTGTGATTTATTATTCCCTCTTTCTTTTTGTTGAGTACAATAAAAACCTATTGATTAATTTCAGAAGCCAAGAATTATGGCCAAACAAAGAATTCCTCACGGAGATTTTTAAAAACAAAGCTTTCTCCCATTATTAATTCATAAAGTTGCAATTCTTCTATTTTATAATAAACAAACATAGCATTATTAACTCTCCTCCAGTTAACTTTGTAACACCTAATTCAAAACAAATAGTTGCTGAGTGTCTGTAATTCAAGCATTCTACTTTTAAAACTATACTTACTGCTAATATAACTGATGAAAAGCATTTTCACAATAAAAGAGGCATTTAAAACAGACAAGACTCAATAGTGGAACGAGATGAAGTTTAAGAATCAAGAGATTAACTGAAACCCCATTGTTCAGAAAAAGACTGCTAAAGAGTATGCTAAAGAAAATGAATATACCTTCAACAGACATGGAGTTTGAACACTGGAGAGACAGATTTTTTAAATTAAATTAAATTAAATTTTAATACTTAATTAAATGTATTGGGTTGCATTGGTTAATAAAATCACATAGGTTTCAAGTGTACAATATTTAATACATCATCTGATATTGTATTGTGTGTTTACCACCCAAAGACAGATTTCCTTCTGTCACCACATACTTTACCCCCTTTATCATTCACCACCTCCCACTCCCTTGCTCTTATGTAATCACCATACTGTTGTCTGTATGAGTTTTTGTTTGTCTTGTTGTTCATTTGTTGCTTTTAGTTTTTATCTCACATACTAGTGAAATCATAATGCCCTTAACTTTTTTTGTCTTATTTCTCTTAGCATGATATCTTCAAGGCCCATCCATGTCATCTCAAATGGCAGTATTTCCTCTTTTCTTATGGTTGAGTAGTATTCCATTGTATATGTATACCACATCTTCTTTATCCAATCATCCATTGAAGGCCACATCAGTTGTTTTAAAAACATCTTCAGGAGGGACCTTCACCAGAGGGTTGACCTGTGTTGATTTGGTGCCCAGGTTCCTGGCATATTCCTGATCACATCAACAGCTCCTGTAATTCCCTCACTCACAACATTTTGGATTTTATTGGTCATTTTAAACAAAACCCACAGATTTTAACTGAAATTTTAAATCAACTAAACTTATATTTAAACAGAGACTAAATAATAATTCAATTGAAAAAAGCCTGT